TGAAGGATGTCCGATAGGTACTGGGGGGCAAGGGCATGGAGGGACTTGTAGGTAAGGAGGAGTACTTTGTAAGATATACGGGACTTGACCGGCAACCAGTGTAGGTGGATGAGGGTGGGAGTGATGTGCTGCCACGGCTTTGTGTGTGTGAGTACCCTAGCAGCACAGTTTTGGACATACTGGAGCCTGTCCAGGGTTTTTTTGGGAACCCCGAACAGGACACCGTTGCAGTAGTCCAAGCGGGTGGTGACAAATGCATGTACTAGGGTTTCGATGATAGGTGGAGAGTTGGCCCAATAGCCGTAAGCGCCACCGTCCTGACGTCAGGACAGTGTTCAAATCTGGATCAGTTTTTATCAGATCCGTTGCAGCCCCTTTTTTAGAGATTTGGGTATGGAGGAAAATAGAGAGGGTTGTGTTTTCTGACACTTGGTGAGTTCCCTGGAACACCGGGGACACATATTCATGTATAAAAGACGTACAAAAGTGCATTTTGCATGATAGGTCCCCTTTAAGGAAGAATAAATGTAGGACAAATATACAATGTTTTGAGTTTGGCCCAGCTGTGAACTCCAATGAGTTCAAGTATGGGGGAGAAGGTGACCTGGATGGGGTTATAGGGGGATATAGAGAAGGTGAATTTCAGGTCAACATGTGTGGGTGAACAATCTCTCTCGGCGCTGATGTCCTTCAGTTTTTAAACATAGATAAATAATGGATCTTCACAGTTTTCTTTTTGTATCTCAGAGTTAGCTGAAGTGGTTTGAGGCTTGAGGCAACTGGAAAGCGTCATGCTGAGCTGGAGCTCATAAAATACAAAAAAGCTGCTGATTAAATCAATCGTGAGCCAAAGCCGTTCTACAGTTTTAACTGAAACTCGTAGATGAATTTCAAAACCAAAGCAGCAGGCTATCGTTGTGAGGCTGTCAGGTATACGTTGAACGTTTTAGTTTTCACCTGTACTGTATACCCTAACATTACATTTTATGAGGGCTAGATTCGAATATATTTATTTATTTATAAGAAATCCGTCTGGATCTGCCGCTGTTTGTGTCATTTGTTGAACTGCATCGCTGCTTGATGTTTGCTTCTCTATAGTTTCAAACTTTCACCATTCAAGTTGGTTTTCCATCAATTGGAGATGCAGTTGATTTGGGGTTTTTGGTCAATGAAAAATACATTGCCAGCCTGAATGATGTGCAGAAGTCTCCTCTGGCTAATATGGATCACAAGGGAGCTGATGTCACTCTGCGCAAGAGCGGTAAACTGACGCATTGCCCTCCTTCAAAAAAACAAATATAAAATGTCCTTTGTGATTAATTAATTAAATGTTTATTCTTCAACTGGTTGTCAGTTATTTCTTACACTCTGACATCAGCTGTGATACAACATGACAATTGTAACATAGACACATTTACTGTACAGTGTTTGTTTATGTTTAAGCCTAGATTAGTTTCAACTAGGGAAGACTTTGATGATTGATTTCATTTAACAAAATTGTATTTATTGCCAAGAATACACGGATGAATGTAATAGTGTTGGGGATTAGACCCCATTGTGCTAAAATATATATTTGGGGAGGGGGAAACCAATATTAGAACCCCCTCCCGGGGTCTAGACATGGTGGTGTTGGAGGGATGAAGGGATTGAAAGGAGCTGAGCTGACAAACTACATTGTAAATCAGAGCATTTTGCAATTCATTTAAAAAAAAAGTTGACACAATTTAATTTCCATTCTGTCATTCTGCTCCACATTAAGTGATTTCTCTCATTGTTCGTGGTAAATCCTGTGCTCAGAGGAATCTGACCAAAAAGAGAAAGAGCTGCTGAGTTTATAAAGGGAAGAGAAGTGGAACTAAGACTGTTTTCAATGTGGGGATTCTGACTTGGCTTAGCTCCTCGGTATTAAACTTGCCAAAGCAGACGGTGAAAGGCACAACAACAAAACATGAAAATTGGGTTTTAATCAAACAGCGTGGAAACTTCATGACTTTATATTTCATGCTGCATTCAAAGTTGTAGAGAGTAAGCACTACAACAACACGTTTTCTTTCTTTCTTGGAACTGGTATTTAGTGCCATGAAGTTATGAATCACAGCAATATTAGTCAGGCTATTAACATTTGAGCAAAAATATGTCAGTGCTGTATTTATCTTGCTGAACCTTGACTCAGCGTAGCCGGCAGTGGCTGAAATTAACAGATGGTGTTTGGTTGTTTATGCAAATGTGTTGAAGGACAATTTTTATATTATACAACATCTTGTTAATACAAATGCAAGATTATTCCTTCAGTCAGATTTGAGTTGCTTATTGTGCATACTTCCCAAAAATAATGACACAATAAGAAAATATTTTGTATACTGTATTTCATGGCAAGTTCTACATGTAAAGTAATTTCATTACCACTTGATACACTTACAGGCATAACCAATGACACCACAGATATGAAAGAAAAACACAATATTTTATGCTCAGCCAATACCTTGTACATCTAAGAAGACTAAACAAGCTAAAATACATCTTTCTACATGGTGTTGTGCTGTCATGTTGGTGCCATAAATGTAACTTTAAACCCTCAGTGTTGAGAAAAGTTTGCCTTCCAGTTGGCTTTTCTATTTCAGGGGTTATTACACCACATCTATCAAAGTCAGAAGTCAAAAAGTCTGACTTAACATTTCTGGAACACAGCACATCTGCTGAGTGAGGAACAAAAACGCCCGCTTTACACCTCTTTGGAGAAGTGGGGAACAGGCGCTCTTTGATGTTTCAGAGCACAGTTTAGCACAACATTAGTATTCACTGGTGATGCATGACATGAAAGGCAAATGCTATTCTTCCTTACCGTATGAATTTGTGCAGTGTGAGACGTCAGTTTCTATTTGACAGCTCATTTGTCAGTCCTTAAGGCTTATAGTAGGCTTCACCCTTTCAGTTTACAGACACGCAAATCTCCACCTATTCTCTCAGGTGGAAACCTCCCTGGACCTTCGCCCATAAGCACACACACGCATACATCACACTTACACACACCTTTTGGGGAGTTACAATGACTACTGCAGCTGTTTCTTGGTTTATTTGTGTCTTATTTTGTTTTGGAAAGATAATATTGGAAATGTTGCGTCTGTGTTCATGTATTATCCCAGAGGTGTATGTTTCTCAATTTTTGTATGACTACAACCTGACTAGCAGCAGAGGTTTTCTAAATCAGGCACTAATGTGAACATTTACAAACACCTCGGCGAGTTTTGTGCCCTCATTTCCCTTTCTAGTTAAACAATGCCTTTAACTGTCACATCCTAAAGCCCTCTGATCAACTCATAACTTGAACATGTGTCCTCAGCAGAGATTCCTGTTAGAAGCAGGAAGCATCGAGCCACTGGAGACTTTCAAGAGGCTAATAGCGACACTTTGGATTTCCTCATGCTTCACTTACAGGAGGCCTGTTATATCGTACCGACTGCCCTGTGTTAAACACAAGTCGTGGCACAACAATGGCTTGTCAGACTAGAGAAGCTGTTAGTTTAAAAGCCTGAAATGAGTAGCTAATATGTCATGGGAAGAAAAACACCTTCAGTATGATTCAGTCTTAGCCTGCTGCCCTTCAAGAAATTATACTATGTTATTGTGTCAAATAGATATGACTGCCTCATCATGTCTTTGCCTTACTTAGTCACACATTGGATATGCAACTTAATGAGTATTCCCTGATTTTCCTTTTCAAAGACACAGACAATTTATATTTGATCTATCAATGAGCAATAATATGTATTCCAACACTACTTGTGTCGACTGGTATTATCCTGAAAAGTTTCAAGAGCATAATGTCAAGGTCCAGTAAAAATGGGCATTTGAATTTTTATTATGTGTTACACTCTGGATTCAGACTTGTATCTATCCTGCACTCAGCTAAAAATGAAAGGAAGTTTTGAAAAATGAATCCTCCTTACATCATTAACTACCGTATTTATTTAAATTAACACTGCATACTTGACAAGATTCACATTTCTCCTCAGCTGGTGACTTCAGATAACAAAGACTAGTATTGTTACCATTGCCATCCGTTAATTTGTATTACTACTCAATACAAAAAAGGTGTCACATGTAATTTTATTCCACATAAGCAACCTTTTTTACTTCCCTGTTATCAGTCAGACATACAGTATTATTCAGGGCCTGCCAAGACATAGCCTTACACCATAAGTTAAAGACTAATGGTAAAATTAAAAATATTTAAAATTAGAACATATATTATATTGGTATCATTGAAACTCTGATGTCAGGTTATAACAATGAATTTTAGAATTACAAAATAGATAAGAAAAAACATTCCCCCTAAAAAAAAAACACTAGACAAGAATATTATATCAGAAAGGGGAGCAGAGAAACTAAAATCTAAAAATCTGTTAGTGGAAGCCAATTAGATCTAATGACTTTTAGGATTGCCTTTCATGTGAGGAGCGTGGGGGTTTTAGCTAATTAATTACCATCCCACAAAGAGGATAAAAACACTTCAATGACAGGCATGAGGCAGTGCTTTTTGAAGAAGTTAGGCACCTGAATCATCAATGGAAAGCACAGGCACCTACATATAGAAATCTATTTACCTAAACATTTACATTAACTTGTTTTTCCCCCGTCACTGGAGGGTAGTTTGTGAATAGACTTGATTAAGTATATCATTCTGCATTTCCTGTATCCCAATTTAAATCGCTTCTTAATAGACACGCTCTTCGCAATAATTGGAACAAAAGTGCTGAAGTGATCATGAGTGCTCGAGGGCTTAATAAGTAAATGTTAATGTGCTGTATCCATAAATTGAAACAGTTCCTCCAGTGATTGCGGAAGCACCATTTAAGCATCTTGTGTTGCTGCTTATATGGCCGTCTCCAGGCCCCCTGCTTAGTTTACATTTTAAAAAGGCAACATCACTTGATTGCAACGTAAATCTCGAGCCCGCTGATTTATTTTGGTGGTAGTCAATTTTTGAGACAAACAATGAAGATGGTTAACGGTTTTAATCAAGAGCTCCACACAAATAATCACCGCTAAAAATTAACCACAGTCAGTGGCCAAGGATTTTTATTCCCTAATAATTCCTCTTCTCACACTCAAGTAACAAGTCTCAAGTTTATCAAGGATGCCCTTGAGAAAAACAGAGCGTAGTTGTCTATACACCTTTTTTTTTTAACATCATATTATATCCAAGAAAATATATTACACTAGTATTTGTAGTAATTTTACAGTTCGGTAAAGTTAATATAAAAACAATTTAAACCCCTGGCATGACAGCATTTTTCAAGGAGAATCAACATGCTTGATTAACTTTCCGTTAATGCTGCTGACACCCAGTGATGCATAAAGGGCTGAAGGACAAATATAAAAAAACTATTTTTCAAAATGATTTAATGAATGCCCCCTATCTTGATATTTGACGTCTTATATACAGTAACTCAGAGGCAGGGCGCTGTGTGTCCAGCAGCATTCTTCATCAGTGACAGTAAGTGGACAGAAGCCCGAGTAAGATTAACTAGAGAATAATTTGGTTTTTGAAGCTGCGGTTGAGGTCTTTGTGTGGTAGGACGATCGAGTTGAGTATAATGACCTCAGAAGGGATGGTCACGTTACAACCTGAGGAGAAAAGCCAAGGCTGTGATTAGTCTCTGTGCAGGACATGAGACATTATATTTCAGTTTTAAAATGCACTCCTGGCATTTATCATTTGATGTGTGTTACATTTCTGGTTTGTTTTGAAAGATGAAAAAGAACCCTTAGAGGTAAAACTGTAATAAAATGTACAAGAAAATAAAAAATGTACAGAAAATAATAGACTAAGATCCACTTTCTCTGGGCACTAAAGTGAAAGAAGTGTTAAACAATGCACACTTTGCATTAAATAACACAATGACACGTCTATAATTCAGTTATGCTTTCTGTAGCTGATTATTACTGGAACATGTAAAAGACCAATATGACAATTATGACATACATGTCAAATAACAATTATTTTTAGACAACTGCTTGAACGGATTCCAGCATAAAACCCTTGGTCTAAGCAAACTACATTTAGAAAAATGAAAGCAGATTATTCTCATTTACCACTTACTTTTCATTTATGTCAAGAACATTACAAAAACGCTAAATAGCAAAATGCAGTTATGTTATTTAATATATGATCATTTTACACATGTAAGGACTGAAGTTTCTCTTAGGTCAGAGCATGCTTACCCAGAATAGTAATAGAGGGTGTGAGTTTTCCCTCTCTGAAGAGCGTCTCGCTGTCAATCTTTGCGAAGGGATCATTTGGGTTAGGGTCACTCGGGGTTCCTTCTACTCGGGCCCACTTGCCAATAGTGCTGTCCCATCCCACAATGCTGTTCAAAACACAGCAGTGATCCTACAGGAAAACGATTTGACAGAAAACATCAACAGTTCATTAATTTACTGTACAATGACGTAAAGATCAAGAAAGAAAAAACTAAGTGTTTCAGGTATTCCTACGTGCTGTGTTAGATAATGTTTCTAGGTAAGACAAACAGTCTAATTAGAGTCTTTAATATTCAAGTTTAAACTCAAGTGAGGTGAGCTGATCAGATTTATCTGCCCATTCATCCTGGGGACATCCTAACGTTTTATTAGAAACATTATCCACACTTCAACAGTGACTTGTCTTGAATTAATCTTCAAGCTTGTGTCAAACAGGAAATAGTGTTGCCCGTGCCGCTCACAAAGATGTCATTTTTAACGATTTGGAGGCTTGCATAATTTAATCCCATGTCTCCAATGATGACCGGGTGCCTCCGAAATGAGTTCAGACTGCAGGTGACTTATTGTCTTCTATTGCATACTTCCTACAAGGACACTTTGTTAGTTGAGCTGCCCTTCTAAATAAACACCACCTGTTTGTTCATACAAAGTTATACTCTGAGGGAAGTTAATCATTTTAGCAATGGATGTTTTGCTGCTTATTTAGCAAAACCTTAGACTTAACAATAAGAGTTAGTTCATCTGCTTATGTGGTAAACAGATGAAAATGGCATCATCAATTCAATTCAGACATAACCTACTGTGCATTGCAGTGGATGGCAGAACACCAAATAACCAAGCCACTGCAGGAGAGGATACAATTCTAGTAGGAATATCAAATCCCAGCCGTGTGTCCGAACACCCTGGCTGGGGTTTTTTGGTCAGTGATAGTTTACAAATGCTCACCTGTAGAGTGGCACCATGAAGGATGATGGATTCCCGAACTCTGACCCCAGCACCAATCGTTACTCCTGTGCCAATCGAGACATTGGGGCCCAGCTGGAGCAATACAAGGAAAGAAAAAGTTAGATACACTTGTATTTTCCATCTTTTCTTTTACCAAGAAAAGCTACATATTTTACACAAAAGGATGTTCTGTTAATTTAAATGTGTTCAAGATGTAAAGTGCAACTCAATGAGAATGGATGCTTACCATAGCAGTGGGGTCGATGTTTGCTGTAGGATGAATATAGACATTACCTAGGAAAATGAGTGAAAGTATGAATAGATTTGTCTCCAATAAAAAAGAACAAAGCTATGGAAGACTCAGGTGTATTTGAAGATAATGCAGTAGCACTTAAAATGGTTTGGCCTATTGAAGGAAAATGTACATGCAGGATTCTTGCTGTTCTGAGTATGTATCTTCATTGTTGATTGCACTTATTGGATAAAAGTGTCAGCTAAATGAAATATAGTGTAATGTAATAATTCTTACCACTTATTTTAGGCCCCCCCTCTTTAATTGAGGCCAGTCTTTCAGGGTGAGTGGTGTGATACTGGTTGAGGTACAACCGACTGGCGTAAATTGCAGACCTAGGAATCAAATACAAACATACAACAAATGCTTAGCATCAAAATATAGATCTCAATAGGTGTTGGTGTACAAAAACAACATATAAAAGTAGGAATTGTTATTTGCTTAAGAACAATGAATAATACTCTCAAACTATGTTCAATTTGAATATGCCATACTTTTTTTGATTTAAGCCTATATGATTTACAGTCCGAAGTCTCTGTTCCTCTCTAAGCTTTTTAAAGGCTACAGTGTTGTCACAAAAACGAATTTATGTGCTGTTGAATGTGGAAGCATTTATGAAATGAGCACTCACCCTGCAGATTTAATCTGGCTCCAGAAGCTGAGGGTTTTATACACGTAGAGTTTGCCCTGTCCCGCCAGGGCAGTGAAAATGTCCTGCTCCAGCCTGATGGCCTCCGCCCGGTGCCAGCCGTTGGTTGGCTCCTCTCTGCAGGAGACACATCGTCACTTCATGGCACTGAGTCACAAACCAGGGCTGGGGGCCACATTTATTAAAAAACAATCTTGTGCACAGGGTTAGGGGTTAGAAATCCAAGACAGAGATGGGATGTAAACAGGAAATATGATGAATAATGTTAACTGATTATTGGGTTTATTGGGTGCAATTATTACTGTAGTAACACCCAAGCTAAACTCAGACACTATCCAAGTGTGGTTGCCATGTATCTTGATATTCTTTTGAAAAATGTATTGAAACATTATTATTTTTAAAAAAAGGCACAGGATTTCACAGAAGACGTGGCCCTATAGTGAACGCAAGTGAAATACTAAACAGACGATTAGACACACTGACACTCACGGATTAGCATTCTCCCCAACTATCTTATGAACTATAAATATGCAGTTAGAGTTGTATTATAATATTTGGTATCGGAGAGGGTGTAAGTAAACATATGTACTTATATAATTGAGGATGAGTTTGTATTCCTGTTGCCCCACTTTAAGAGCCAATATCTACCCTTATATAGGTCATGATATTGGATGTTTCGTGGTGAGTAAATAAGTAAATACGTCAGTCGGTAAATCCTATCTTAAACTCTTTATTAATTAAATGCTTGACTAATTAAAAGTACTTGCTCATTTAATCAAGAACTTCAGCAAGTACATCAGCCTTCCTGTTAAAATGTGCATATTGTTATCAAATTAGAAAGGAAGTGTCTATCATGATACCTCCATGTATTATTTTCCAATGATACGATCCATGAGCTGACAACTGATCGTCTAGCAGCTAGCCCTACCCCACTATTAGTAAACTAGTCTTTGATATTTCTAAAAACCTATATTTATGAGCAGAAGCAACCCAGTGGCATCATTATTTCCAAATTTTGCTAAAGCCAAATAAAACGTGAATTGATTGCCCTACAATCCATCCCCCAGAATAAATTGAGTTCAGTTAGTTAAAATGCATCATGATGCTAACTTTGATGGTGTCAGAGCTGGGCTTATTACCTAGTGGTGATCCAAAACTTAAGTAGAAGAGAGTATGTGCTCCATATTAATCAGGGTCTCTGGCATAGTGTATTGTGAGAGCCCCTAGATGAAACAGTTTTAAATATTGATGAAAAGAATATTTTAAAGGAGTGCACCCATAATCGAAGTTTTACCAAAAAGGAGGGGATGTGGTTAGAGGCAAAGTGCTCCCCTAGAGATTTTGCAGTATAACCCATCTCATTTCTATCAAGCATCTCTGATGAGTTCAACAGTTTCGCTGATTCAGTGCCCAGCTTGATTTAAGTGCTATTGATGTTAGGCAGGTGAATTATGCACAGCGTGGCTTGACCTTTTCGTAATATATTTCAAGTGTCCTTGGGGTGCCAAATGCTAGGTGCTTTACACCACAGTGAGCGTTAGAAAACATAAAAAGGGAAAGTGTCAAATCTCCAAATATTTACACAAATAAAATCCATAAAGTAATCCCATGTGTTTTTATGGCTTCTGTGAGTGACCAGTGTGCAGCCACATGCACATTTAGGCTATGAGCAGACAGGAAACGTTTTTTAAAAGCACAGCTGGGAGTGTAGCAAATACATCAATCAGAATATACACAACCATTACTTAATTCTTCATGGTAGCTGAGCAACAAAGTTTCACAAAAGCAAACTATCTTTTAAGACGTTTTGCTAGCTAACCTAAAATAACAACAGGGATATATTAAAATTAAAATAAAACTAGATATGAGGAAGTCAGTTCAGTTAAATGCTTGTCCTTAAAAAGATCAACGGACAATCACAAAAAATGCAGGATGCAGAGTTTAAACTCGGGAGAGCAAGCTACGATAAGGTCAAAGCAGGTTTTTTTTACATTTTTGCAAGTGGATTTTGTCTTTACTCTATGCAAACGTTTTACATTTTGGGAACATTGTATTTGCATACTGACAGTTAGATGAGCAGATTAAAAGCCTTAGGGCTGGGAGAAATAAAGAAAATAAAGTATCTTGAGTTTTTTGAGCAAATACCTCTTAGCAATATTGTGATGATATTATAGGTAATGTGGATATAATGACTAAGCCGGTAAAGGCAAAAAATAGAAGCACAAGAACAGAGTGGTTGATTCTGAACATGATATTAACTTACTGTAAGGTAGCCTTTAAAACCGGGAATAGATAACGTAAATATCACAATGAACGATAATGTGATATTACAAATATAAGAAGATTACTAATCTAATATCACAATATCAATATAATAATAATAATGATATATTACCCAGCCCTACATTAAATATAAAGCCAAAGCCAGCTGCCAGGTAGCTTAACGTAGCACAAAGAAGCCAAAGTTAGCCTGGCTTGATCCAAAGATAACAGAAAAGCACATATATGGCATTTGTTTAACCTAATCAAAAACTGAAGAATAAAATCCAGAATGTATAATATCACAGACTGTTTCTTGGCTCTAGTGTTGATTATCTTGATTTTCTTACCTACGGACAGAGGCAGGCTGATTCATCATTTCCAGTCTCTATGCTAAGCTAAGCTATAACCGCCTGCTGGCTTTAACTTCATATTTACAAAACAGATATGAGTCATCTCATCTAGGTGTCTGATGGAAAGTAAATAATCATACTTGTCTAACTATTCCGTAGTACTCTCAGATAGGCAAAGATCCTGTAGTGTAAGTTTCAAGCACAAACATTTGCCAAAACACACAATAAGTAAATAAACCAAAACAGGCCTCAGGCAAAATGGGAGATGCATAATTGGACGAAAAAAAGGGCACACCAAGAGGGCACACACACATTCACAAAGCAGCCTGGGCAATCTCAGCCTTCTCCTGGCTTCTACAGCTCACACCATACACTGTATGTGCTCTATCACTACACCGCGTAGCCTGAGGGTCCTCACTTACCCATCGTATGGATATCTGATGATTGTGTGAGCAAACAGTAATCATGGCAGGGATGAGAAGGGAAGGAAAAAGGACAAATGAAGAGAAAGCAAAGACATGCAATAAATGATGTTCACATGCATTCCCACACACACATCCCCATGATGGAGAGCTTCAACTCACAGCAACATGTCCTGCTGGTTCTTCTGAAAGACAGCACCGATATGCTGGAAGATTTCCGGGGTGAAGAGGTATATGCCGCAGTTTATGATGTCGCTCACAAATGTGCTCGGCTTTTCCACATAATGCAAGACCTGAATAAAAAAGAAGAGTTGTTGTTATTTTAAGATGAAACAGTAATGAGTGGCTATTTAAGGAAAGAAGATAGGAAGGGCTACTTACTTCCTTTGTTGTCTCGTTTTCAACAATACAGCCGTAGTTCATGGACTGCTTTCTGTTTGCCTGAAAGAATGGAATTTAGAAATCAAAATTTGACATCCAAGAAGCCAGATCTCATATTTCATTATATTCAGCAAGCTAGACACAATAACAGAAAGAAAAACCTTTTGGAGTTTTACTTTGACCAGATCTAACAAGTTCTATGAGTCTCACCGTTGTCCCCAGGATAACAAAGCTGTTTGGTTCTCCGTGTTCCTTCTGGAAGCTGAGCATCTCTGCAAGGGGAAACGCTGAGCAAACATCCGCATTCAGAACGTAGAAGGCCTCTGGACTGCCGGACACGATCTGATCTCTGAAGTGATAGATGCCCCCCCCGGTGCCAAGGGCAGCATACTCCTGCAGATACCTGTGGTGCAGAGTCAGGAAGATCAGCTAACCTGCAGTCATTCAGCAGGAGCGGTGCAGCAGCAGTTTCTATCAAGACCATGACTTTAACGTATTATAAACATACTTTAAATGGGTTGAATTCTACTAACAGCATCGTATAAACATAGGAAAAAGGAATTACTATCTATTCATAATTCTTGATTATAGTATATTACAACTGTTCCATTCCATTTTTTATTTGTTCAGTTCATCGTATGCACAAACTCAATGTATAACAATTATTTACAAAACATGTCTCTGTAAACACACCATACCCGAAAAGGAGCAGGGAGAAGAAAATAATCTTATATTACCTGCCGCTTTCTCAAAATAAAGAAAGAAAATAGAAATAGATGGTCTGTCCTTCATGTTTTCTTATTAATACAAATAATAATAATGTCATGTTTATTTTATGTCCATGAATCTACTTAAAGGTGGGGTAGGTAATTTTGGAGAAACCAGCTCGAGATCGCTAGAATTTGAAAATACACAGCCGGAAAAAATCTGCCACTTCCTTACAGAGCCCCTCCTCCAACACACACGAACGTGCACATGACCAATGAGGGCACCCGGCTTCCACAGATGAAATTTTTGTATGGATTTTTTGTCAAAGCACTTAAGATATTCATTGCTATCGGGATGTTAAGAGCATTCCATGGAATATAACAAAAAGTGTATCTCGAGCCGGTTTCTCAAACTTACCTACCCCACCTTTAAGTAATGTTATTAATTACAATTTTGAAGGTACTTTTAATTAAGTATAACATCTAAATACTTCTCCAACCACTGCTAGTAATATAATACAAAACTTGTTTTACTTTGAAAAAATGACAGTTAGTGACAATTAATATTATTAATATTAAGTATTATTATACTTCGTCAATAAACAATGATTTACAATGTGTTACGACAATAGTCATAGCGCCTATAACTATACCTTTATAAAGTGCTATAAGAGGCCAATATAAGTATGTGTTTTTTAAAGAATTTTTCTGGGCCAGAGTGTTTTTATTCCAGATACAGTGTTAAAAGGGGCAGACAGAGGGGATGACATTGCCTAATGCTTCTGAGGGCTCGTGTGACGAACCTGCGTATCTGGCAGCGGAAACATTTTATGGGCTGCCAGCTCTAACCACGGAGATATGGTCAAAAGTTATGTTTATAATGTATTATAGACATGGGAGTCATAGAAAGTGTTACCATGTTTAGGAATACTATCACAGTTTAGCACATCTAAGAAAAAAGTGTTCTTTTATTTTTTTTATTATGTGTATTAAAAAAAAATGCACTGTGAAAATGTCTTTATAAAACTAAAAACATTTTTTGAACAAAGTATATAAGTCATCTATATGCAAGTGTTACTGTATGAATGTTCTTATTTAGTAAGGTAGTCGAGTAAGACTAAGAGCTTTGTTTCTTTACCTGATGGAGATTTTAAACTCCTGCTGTGCATTGAACAGGAATCTGTTCAGTTCTTCATTTGGTTGATAAAAGCCGATGAGCAAAATCTCCTTCATATTTGGTACCTTGTAATACAAAAAAGTATTTATCAGATTGACTCATTTCTATTTGGATCAGTTCAAGTACAACCCCCATAACTGGTAACTAACTTAAGACAATATTTCACTTGAATATAGAACATATCTACAATGTAACCCTTATACAGTCTAGTTAGGCATCCAGAAATCACCCTACATTGTACATTAAATTGAGAAAAACTCATACTCATAACAGTTGTATTGCAGTGGCACTTACCTTGGCACATGCTTCAATGTGATGCTGCAGCATGGGCACACCAGCTACAGGAAACAAGGGTTTGGGCACTTCAAATGACAGGGGCCTGAACCTTGTGCCTGGAAAGCAATGCCGGGGATTACTCTTAAATCAGATTACAATGCAGATCCCATTTTACTCCATGTTTCTAGTATGCGCTATTAGTATCTTGTATGGATACAGATCACTCCTTAACTACAACAAAGGGGATGCCATGTCCTCTCACATTGCACAACTATTTTAAAACTTCTATATAAAACGTAATTCCTGTTAAAGCTCCACTTGCTTTACATTTACGGTACTTATATCTTAATATGTATGAACTGTATCTGCCGAACTGAAAAAGGTGTCGTAACGCAAAGATAACACGTATTATTAAACACATTCCTTTAGTAAAGGTACTTTATCATCTTAAAAAACTCATTTATAAATGGGATTACGTTGACTTGATACGAGATAATGGAAGGAGATTAAATGAGCAAATGATAATAGTAGGCAGGGTATAAACAGCAACATAACCGTGCAAGCTACATGTATAGACAGTGTTGTTATTTACATAGCGTAATTTAACGTTGTAATCATCAAGTGATTAGGCTATTAGGTCATTTGTTTGTGTGCGGTCCCCTCATTATGCCACGTCAGTGATATAAACAAGCTCTTCGGGTCTTTGGAGGTCTTGTTGGTATTAGCCACCTAGCTTCGCTTTAACGAAGCACAGCTGACTCTGAAAACACGATAGGAAGGAGTTGTGTTATGCTCACCTTTCTGGGGGCCTCCAATTAAAATAACCGCCTTCAACATCTTGACTGAGAAGCTTTAATTTGTGACAGACGAGGGTGCCTGGAGACTACACCTGTAACTGTTTGGTGACACTTCCGTATCCACTTCCGGCTTGTGACGTTGACGTTATCAGAATAAAAGCACGGAGCAGAGTGCTGTCTATGTGAAACGGAGTGGAGAAGACTTTAGACGTATTATACAAAATCTATTACCAATACAGTTTTAAAAGGAACATTTATATTTCGTTTTCCTATGGTTGTAAACTAATAGAACAACCAATCAGACAACAGTAGTTTAAACAGCCCTGTCTCCTGTGCAGATTCTCAAATGTTGGATATGGAAGTAAATCTGTACCATCGGATTTTGAAATTTAAAAGCAATTGTATTTATAACACTGAATAATTATGCATTGAACTAATGTATCTACTCGTTTTCACTTTTTTGATTAAATGTTTACAAATTTAGAATCCAAATTTCACTGTTAAAAGATTCAGTATATATTTATATTAAAGTGGCTCTAATTCAGCTGGCCAAATTCAACTGCAACATTTGGGATGTTAAAAAACATTTTGTACAGATAAAATTCTGTGTAAGTAAAAACTTCCTAAAAATGTTAAAAAATGATATCTTATGTTTTTTCACCAAGATTAAAACAAAATATTGAAAAGTATCCCTTTTTTTTACCAGAATGACGATACCAGTTTGGCGTTATCTTGTCAAGTAATTTTTTGTGCTACCCTCTGTCTAATTATTCATGATTTTATCATTTTAAATGGCATCTGTAATCAGCCTTTTCAACAACACACATGTTGACATTTTAAGGCAGGAAAAGCACAGGTGTTAGTACTCACATGAACTGTTTCTTCTATAAAAAATGATTTATTTATTTATTTTGGAATAACAATAAAATAGAAAATACAAATACCCATTGACCTACAAGACATAGGACATTATACTTGGACAGCACATTCTTTTATGACAGATTGAGTTTCTGTTAATGAGTGCAAAGTTCTGGTTGTGGTTGTTTTTAAATAATGTTTTTATATATGTTAGTTACACAATGGTTCTCAACTGGTGGGTCGCGACCCAAAAGTGGGTCGCGGACCCGTTTCGAGTGGGTCGCGGATGTGTGAGTGAAGAAAAAAAAGTTGAAAAATTGGAATTTTTTTTTTTTTGGGGGGGAAAAGTCAAACTTTTATTTTGAAGGCCCGATTTTCTTCTCAGAGTGTACCAGAATGCGTAGTTTATGTTAGTATTTCTAAAAATCTCCTGGGGGAGAATCCCCCCAGACCCCCCTGCTGGGGTTGGGTTTCAGCATGTGTGCCTTTTTATATAGTTCAGCTTTGATTCCATCATCTCATTAAACCTTTTTTAAAAGCATACTTTAGTTCTGTGAAGGGATATAAGGGATATATGCACTGTACTTCACTTTTATTAATATTGTATGCGCAAAAGCGTATATATTAAAGCACGATTTTTTGTTGAATAGATTTGAGTGCTTCAAAATGTTGGGTCGCGATGTATTGACCAAGTAAAAAGTGGGTCCCGAGGCCTGACCAGTTGAGAACCACTGTGTTAGTATATATATGTATTTCTAAGAGTATTAGGGGCTGTGAGTTTCAGGAGCTAATACCTAAATGCTGCTTCTGATGGTTTATCACAGGTTTATAATTTACAAAGGCATTAAAATGCTGCCATTATATTGTGTAATAATTACTATAAACTGTTTTAATATGCTGTGTCTGGGGCCACTGAGGTGGATCCAAGACACAAGATATTTTGTTTTGTTGTTCCATTTTATCACAAGGCTTTGTCAATGGATTATTCTTTTCTCCTGAGCGTCTCCGGTATGTGCGTAAAGTAGGTTATTCCCTTATTTGAGTTTAGGGAAGTTAAGACGTTTGGGAAAAAAAAACTCAGCTGTCATGAGCACTCATAAAGACGACAAATAACACATACACAGCTTTAATGAAGGAGTTCACTTTCATATTTCCTCATTAAAACGTAACCTGAAGTAAAACAGTCTCCCATGCGGTGGTATTCATAACTCAAACATATGCAAATAAGATGGGAATCTGCATCAAACAAACAGAAAAACATTTTAGTCAACTATCACCAGGGGACAAGGTGCTTTGATACGCGCCCTACTGCCGGAGCAGCAGAGGAATCTGAAGAGCGTTCACAGCTCCTCAAAGGTTTAAAGGTTTTATTCCTCTGCATTGTGGCCCATCTCCACCTAAACAAAATCTGCATCACATTTCCATCACAAAGAGACATTGACAAACAACAGAAGAGGAATATGTTTCATGTGTGTGGGAAGAAGATTGTTTATTATACTGAAATAATGTGTTCATTGTATTGTCACAGTATAATAAATCCTTAAATATATGAAAATAATATGTACAATTTGGGTTTTCAAATTGGCTATTAAAACCACAGTCAAGGTCACATTGTATTCTCATATAATAAACTTTATTTTTTTAAGATCTTTCCATCACCAACTTACTCTTAAATATTACACATTTTTATCAAAAGTGGGAAGTGATTGCAGAACATAGCTCATGCCTACAATTGCTTGATTGAACATCACCCTGTACATTAGATAATCTGTAATCCAAAGGTAAACATAAAAAGAAAATTATTTCTTTAACAGCCATTCTGTCATGTCTCATACATATCAATGCGCTACCAGTCAAATCTATCACATTTATTGCTGATCTCGCTCACGCTGTGCAACTATGAACACTTGAAAAATACAATTCTAAATGTGGAACAATTGGTTCAGCAAAAATGGGAAACATGTGTTCTACATCTTATAAGTGTTGGCCAAAAATGAACGAGCAATTTAAAAAAAAAAAGCAGTCTAATCTAGCATTCTAATCACGTGCATTGTAAATAATTAGTGTCAGCAACACCACTGAGTTAACTTTTAAAAATGGCTCTTCATGCAGCAAACAAAAATTCACATGAAAGGCTAGTGTACAGACCTTTTACCGTACAATGTTCAATTACAAACTGACAGTAAACAGCAAAGAGTGTATGTAATTTGTTAAATTAACCGTACCAAAAATAATATTCACAAACACTCAATTACAAAAATTACAACATCCATGGAAAAGTTACCCTCCTGCAACACTGTATATGTAGGATGTATATTAAAAACAATATTCTACTTGCCCTTAAAGTAACCCAGACTATGCATTTAAAATACAGTACCTTGCTTAACATGCTAAAGTAACCCATGTAGTATGCAGACCTGTTTTACACACACAAATCAGAAATCTGCTTGTACCTCACATAACTTAAAGTTACGCATGCACACTTACATTACTATTAAGATCTTTATATTAAAGAAACAGAACTTTTCTGTCTATAAACACAAAATTAGCATAAAATACCGTACGTGGAGAGGTGATAGGCTTATTGAAAATATCATGTAGTAATTTTTATTACTACATGTTATTTTCCTGCCCACTGCAATAACACTGTACAATAAATCACCTCTGGCTGGAAGAGAACTCTCTGCTCCATAGTTTCTCTAGAAATAAAACCACGTTGTACATTTTACTCATACATAATCTGTTTCATATTTAATACTCCATAATTCCATATATTTTGAATATATATATATTTGTATATATATATATATATAATATCTGTATGTATATTTTCTATTTTGTATTTTGACATGTATATTTTATATTTTATATTTTATTTTATTTTATTTCTATTCTTGTATATTTTGTTTTATTGTAAAATGCCTTTTATGCTGCTGTAACAAAAACAATTTCCCAATTTGGGATCAATAAAGTACGATCTATCTATCTATCTATCTAATGAAAAGGTTCTTAGTGGTATGATTTAGGTTGATAAAAGGTTAACAAAATTACTTAATGCCCCTTAAATGTACAAAACAAGTCATTCTGAACAGACTTAGCCTTTTTAATTCAGTACCTCAGCTTCACATGGTACCACTGTCCAGTCCAGGTGTTTAGCTGCTTAGTGTTTCCAGTACTATCTCCTGTTGAAGAGGTCTTTGCGTTTCCGCAGCTCCTCCAGCACCCGGGCCCTGAACTGGGTCCAGTCCTCGTCCTGGAGCTGCTGGACGCCCAGGGCCACATGGAGCTCTTCAGATTGGCTCCGCAGGAAAGGATTGTACTGTTTTTCTTCTCCGATAGTGGAGGGACACTGGAAATAAAGAGCGTGTTAAAAAAAGAAACCCTCCTCAAAATGAATGTAGTCTCAATGACTCGTATGTCATTCATTCACAGAACAGGATTTTGTACCAAGTGGTTCCTGCCAACTAAAACCACCACTGCATTGCATTTCTGCATCTCGGCCTTTTAGTCAATAATAAATCACATTTTAACTTTCCCTTTTTATGCATTTAATTGAGAATACTCCACAATGATTGCCAATCCTTATAATACAACTCTAACTAACCAAAGTTAAAAGCAGGGAAACAAGGAGTTCATGTTTTACTAGGAATTTGCTATTATATTTCCTAATGTAAAGCTCTCATTCGTCTTCTGCAAAATAAGCAGTCAACGAGCAAGAAGAGCTAAAGTTGCTAATTTGTTAACATGTCACTTGTGGGTGAAAGCACAGATGTAATTATTAACTTAATGACGGCTGTTGTTGTGCATGCTGTCTCACTGTCACAGATTATTAGGACACTCGAAAATAACAGAACCATTGTTGATGTTATTAGTAACACCTTTGCTTTTCCTGCTGTGACAAGTCAACATTTCTGCTGCGGAAAAGCCCTTTTATTACCGATGTGTGAAACTGCCTGTAGTGCCATGCTGTATAGATGGCAGATAAAAACTCATCTAAATTCTGGATAGGCACTTCACTCAACAGTGAACCTTTGCTCTGCTGCAGACTGCATTGCAGAAGAGACTTGAGTGTGAGAGCCCGGGAGAACAGCGCTGTGAAAGCAGGTGATAAAGCTTTCTTTCCAGGTGCTGGACCACATGAATCCTCTCTGGGATGGCGTGCTATGGAGGCATAACACAGGCCATAGATCATTCTCACCGTGCACAGCTTCTGGGCCCGCTGCAGCAGCACCCACTGAGATTTGTTTTCCCTGGC